TCAAAACAGAAATTATTTCTAATCAAATTGTCAGTCTAAAGAACTAACAATATGATTTTTCCTTCTCACAGAATCAGTTATCGGACAGCCTATCGACATGGGGAAAAAACTATGTATAGGCGCAAGTCTCAGTGTTGTCCTGGATTTTATGAAAGTGGAGAAATGTGTGTCCGTAAGTAAGACTTTCATTCCTTTGAGGCTCTCTTGTTTTCCCAGGCTGGTTTGCTTCTGTTAATGGCAGTTGAGTTGGAGGCCTGGGGAGACAGACCATCTTGGAACATTCCTTTTCACTCTTGGCTGCTACTTCCTTGGCTTATGTAATGAGGGAAGAATTAACTCTGTCCCTCTGTTCTATCAAGAGTCTCCAAAGGAATGTTGCTTGAGGAGAAAACAGCTGTTACAGAAAGATGATTCAAGGCCGGATGTGGTGATCTTACTTGCGATTCTTCAATAAATGCCTTGCTAGAAATTGGTCAGGAGTCATTGGACTTAGGTCACAGAGAAGAACGGAGACCTAACTTTCCTGCACCTGACCCACATTGACTTCCAAGAGGCCAGCATATTCTTTTCTGGCACATAGAATGAATGATGAGGCTTATTAAATGTAGAGGAGTTTTCACAGTAAAAATATGACAATAAATCTGGGTCACAAGAACTTATTTTCATTGTCATCTTCTCTCTTTCTCTCCCCTCTCTACCTCACCAGTTCAATTCTGAGATGTCTTGAGAGAAATCTGGTATTTTATGACTTGCTTCAGAAAAATCCTAGAATATCATGTGACATGCAGTTTGCAGTTGAGGTTTCTTATTGTTGTGTGTAGGTCACTTAGAAGAGAGATCATTAAAAACTATTTTATTCAAATATTCTGGTTCAGCATACAGCTAAAGGGGCATACCCCTGCTTTCTGGGTTGAGGCATTGATGTTGAGTAGCATAGACACAAGTTTCTCTGTAATTTGGAGGTGTCAGGAATGACTGGATCAATCTGAGTTTAAGAATCTGCAGAGCCCAGTGATAGCACTGGTTCTCCACTACTCAGCTAGGTAACTTGGATAAGCCATTTATAATCCTCTGAGTCTCCTTTGCTGTCTCAGAAAGGGGCTTGGATCTGTACATGGCTCTCAACTTCCTGCCAACCCCTGGATTCTATTCTTTATGCAGAGAGGGGAAACTCTGCAACTTTGATTCCTAACCAGGCTATGGGTGATAATAAATGGTCATAGAAAAAATTAGAATATGTAACTAAACAAAAAGAAGAAAATAAAAATACATTGTGTATATCTTTCCTGGTCAGTAATTATACTTCTATAACATATTGTAAATGGCAACTTATCATTGTATCATAGATTTTTTTTTTTTTTTTTTTTTGAGTTGGAGTCTCACTCTGTTGCCCAGACTGGAGTGCAGTGGCCGTTCCCGGTCACCGCAGCCTCGACCTGCTGGACTCCGGCGATCCTTCCGCCTCAGCCTTCCAAGTAGCCGGAATTACAGGCATGCGTCACCATGCCTGGCTGATTTTTTTTTTATTTATTGTAGAGATGATGAGGTCTTGCTGCCCAGGCGAGTCTTGAACCCGCGGGCTCAGGCAATCCACTCACCTCAGCCTCCCAAAGATGCCGAATTACAGGCTGAGCCACCGAGCCTGGCGTATCATAGATATTTAATTAACCAATCTCAACTGCTGAATACATGATTTTCAAGTTTTATCCAATGTGAACTACTCTAAAAGGCATTATTGTGATTAATTTTTCTTTTAAATTCTTCATTAAGTAGGCCTAAAAGTAGAATTGCTGGGTTGGAAGTATACATATTTCGAAGATTTTTGGTGTGTTTCCAATTTAAATACCCACCAGCAGTAAATGAAAATGCATTTTTCTTATACCCTGTGCCAATTTTCCCTTTACTAATTTTTTCTTAATTTGCATGTCTTTGATTAATAATAATGCTGAATAAGAAAAATTACATGTTTATAATCAAACATCTTAGAGAATAATTGTGATCAGATCTCAGTGGCCCAGGCTGATGGGAAATTTTCAAAAGAAAGTAGCACCGAGCACACGAAGGCAGGGGACTGGGAGGGAGGAGAAGGGAGACCTGGCTGGTCAGGCGGGCCACTCCTGAGAGGCATTATCTTGGGTGGCATTATCTTGGTGCCCTTGCTTGGATGTCCTTACCTTGCAAGCACACTGAGAGAGTACTTCTGTCTCCCAGGACACATGTCTATTAACCCAGGTCATAGGACTTATATTTAAACCTCAAATCCTATTTCATTAAATTATACAAAATATAAAGAGGTTCTTGGGCCTTTGTTTTCTGGTCATGCCTCCTCTCCTTAACAGATCTAGCATGCAGGATGCAAGATTTTATTGGCAAATTGGTGTGGGAAGTGTGGATCCAAGCAAGATCAGTTAGAGAGAAGGTTTCAGTGTTTCCTGGCACCAGCCACATAGTCCAACACCTCAGTTATTTTATTTGATAGTGCAGCCATTCTTAGAAAGTTAGGCAATTTCAGGCCAAGTGTGGTGGCTCATGCCTGTAATCCCAGCAGTCTGGGAGGCAGGGATGGGAGAATTGTTTGAGCTCAAGAGTTTGAGACTAGCCTAGGTAGCATAGCGAGACTCTAATCTCTACAAACAAACAAACAAACAAACAAACAAACAACATTAGCCAGGCGTGGTGGCACATGCCTGTAGTACTTGGGAGGCCAAGACAGGAGGATTGCTTGAGCTCAGGAGTCTGAAGCTGCAGTGAGCTAGAATTGTACCACTGTACCCCAGCCTGGGTGACAGAGACCCTGTCTCTAAAAAAATTAAAAAAATAAGAATGATAATTCTACCAGTGCTGGCATGCCTAAAATTACAGTGGTAAAACAACTCTTCTCCTCCACTGGACAGCTTGCAAGGTGTCCCCAGACCACTTGGATAGACACCACAACATTTACCTCCCTTCTCTAGGCCTCTTGGCTGACCAACTGCCCCTGGGGACTGAAACGTTTCTCCTTTAGATATGTTAATATATTTGATCAGCTTGCTGTCTAGTCTCACTGGTCTGGGAGCTGTTAGGTCTCTGGTCACTGTAAGGTTTACTCTCCACTTTGATGTCTTGATTTCTTGACTTCTCTTACTTCCTTGTTCTTGAGAATGCCTTCCAGTGACTCTTTTGCACTCTCCAAGCAAGGCACCCTTGTGGATAGAAAAGGAAGAAAGAGCACATGATTCTTGGTTGTGTTTTCATAATCTTTTCAATGAAGTTTTGCTGCTGGGCAGAGAACATAGTCATCTCTTTTAACTGCTTCCAGCTACCAAAAGGAATTAAAACACAGGAACTGGTCATCATTTTAGTGTAATTCTTGGTAGTTCACCTGGAAGGCAAAAAAGGATGGTTTCATGCAAATACCAGTATTTGAAACAAGTTTCTTTTAGGTAGTTGAAGTAGCTTCCTTTAGGAGAGAAAATCCTATCCGCCCATCCCTCCCCACTGCTTCTCTGCTATAGATTACACCACAGAGGGTCATTCTGGAGACCAGACATGGGACTTCCAGTTATACTTCCATAGCTTTCTGAGGTTTCCTGTGGGGACTTGGCTGGCTGTCCCAGCTCTCACTTGTTAGCAACATATGCTTTTGTTCTCATCATTTCCTCATTCCATCTCAACCTTCAGAGATTGGAATACTTCACAGATATAAAAAGTAGCTCATCTTCAGAAAATTGTACACTGAAAAATCATCTTCTTTGGGCCCTCAGAGACATTTCTAGAGAGTGGCTCCAGTTCAGCATCAGCTGTGGTTGGGGAAGGAGAGTTGCATGGCCTCAGGAAACACCTAGCCAGTCACACCCCAGTGAAGGGGTCTGTGCCCTTCTCAGAACAATGACGAGGAGAGCTTGTAGATGCTAGCAGGAGCGTGGTAGGACCATGCGACTTCTTTTAACTTGTGCTTAGGAGGGAAGCAAGTTTCTATTCTACTCATTCATATTGTCATCGATTCTTTCTTATAAGTCATTTCCTCTTCTTCTTCATAGGAAAAAATAAGATTCAACACAGTAGATTCAATTCAATTGAATTGATTTCAATTCTAACACGTATCATTTGACTGGGCTGGACTACAATGTAAATACCAATGGGCTGAAATCTAGGAATTATATACATGCATGAGCCAGATATACTTCCTGTCCTGAAAGAGTTTTGGGGCCTAAGTATCTTTTTAACGTATTTAGGACAGCAGCAAAGTAATAGTTAACTTTATTACTGTGTACCAGGTACATACATTATTAAATTCCTAAAACATTATGAGGAGGATAGAATTATACCCATTTTATAGATGAGGATGCTGAGGCTTTGAGAAATTAAATAACTTTTCCTGTCTGATCAATTGATGGCAGGTGGTAGAAGATGATGCTGGTACAGGTTCTGAAAGAAAAATGACTTCACCTAAATGAAAGAAATGAAAGTGGCAGAGTAGTTTATGAACCAAAGATTATACAACTCCTGCCCATGACATGTTTTGTCAAGGATTTCTCAGCTGCATTTTCATTACATGACTTCAGAGATTTAAAAAAATATATTAAATTATTTTGCCTCTGAAAACCAAAGTCAAAGAAAATTTGATATTCTCTGTGTTTCAATTCTACCTCTCTTTTTAAAATGACTATTCAAGAAATAATTTTGTTCTTTTGAAATTGGATTTTTAAAAGGTTCCTAAAGAAAAAAAATTTCAGCTAAGTAAATAGATTACAAATATGTGGCGATTAGGTCTCTACTGACCACAAGATGGATCGCTGATCCCAGGCATAGTTGGTGGATCATCAGGATAGCTGTTACTACCACATTTTTGCTTCAGCTTTTGGATATCTAGCAAGAGAGCCTAGGTGCTCCTTCCTTCTTGGTACTTTCAGAGTTCCAGGGGAAAAGACAGTAGTGCAGAAAGATGCTGAAGATTCTAAATTTTACACATTGATGGCCAGAGCGTCCTTCATGTAGAGTCACATGGAAACTGTCCCAGGATGAAGCTCTCATTTCATGTTTATGTTCAACGGAGACAGCAGGTGGTCACTAAAATCGTTCCTCATTCTGTCAGCAGTGGGGTTTCTTGGAGAAAAACTAGTTTTCTTGTGTATGGAGCAGAATGAGGAGATTGGTGGTGCTTCTGAGTGGAATGAGCAGGCAAAACATCTGGGAAGGCTGTTAAAATGTAGATTCTTGGTCAGGTGCGGTGGCACACGCCTACAATCCCAGCACTTTGGGAGGTCGATTGCCTGAGCCCAGGGGTTCGAGAACAGCCTGGGCAAATTGGCGAGACCTCATCTCTACATTAAAAAAAAAAGAATTAGCTGGGCATGGTGGTGCATGCCTGTAATTCCAGCTACTTGGATGCTGAGGCAGAAGGATCATCTGAACCCAGCAGGTCGAGGCTGTGGTCACTGTGAGCAGGCCACTGCACTCCAGCCTGGGTGACAGAGTGAGACTCCAACTCAAAAAAAAAAAAAGCAGATTCTGAAGCTAAAGACCTGGGGTGGGGCCCACGTGTATGCATTTCAGTTGACCTCTCAGGCTGTGTGGAAGTTGCTGGTCCACAGAGCAGCTATCTGTCCAGGAGATGTGTGTCACTAGACAGGAGGAATCAAATGGACAGTATCAGGAATAGCACAGCTATAAGGTTTTTCTAATAATCTGATTGGTTTACAATGAGAACTACACAACACTGCTCAAAAAAATCCAAGAAGACAAATGAAAAAATATTCCATGCTCATGGATAGGAAGAATCAACATTGTTAAAATATCTGTCCTACCAAAGGCAAGCTACAGATTCAACGCAATACCCATTAAGTTACCAACATCATTCTTCTCAGACCTGGAAATGACAATACAGAAATTCATATGGGAACAGAAAGGACCACGAATAGCCAAAACAATCCTTGGCAAAAGAAACAAAGCAGAAGCTATCACACTTCCAGACTTCAAACTTTACTATAAGGCTACAGTAATCAAAACAACCTAGTATTGGTACAAGAACAGGCACATAGACCAATGGAGCAGGAGAGAGATTCTGGAAGCAAAGCCTCAATTCCTCAACCCACTCATCTTTGACAAAGCCTGCAACAACAACCACTGGGGAGAGGAGAGCTTATTCAGTAAATGGTGCTGGGAAAACTGGCTGACCACATGCAGAAGATTGAAACAAGACCCCTACCTATTACCATATACAAAAATTAACTCTAAATGGATCAAAGACCTAAATGTAAAACCTCAAGAATCTTAGAAAATGCAGGAGACACCCTTATGGAAATTAGAACTGGAAACCAATTCCTATTTGGAACCTTGAAGGCCAATACCTTAAGAAATAAGATAGATAAGTGGGACCTCATCAAACTAACGAGCTTCTGCAAAGCAAAAGAAACCATCAAGAGAGCAGAGAGACAGCCCACAGAATGGGAAAAAAAATTGCCAACTGTATATCTGACAAAGGCCTAACATCTAGGATCTACAAGGAACTCAAACACGCCGAAAGGAAAAAAACAGTCCCTTTAAAAAGTGGGCAAAAGACATGAATAGACACTTCTCAGAAGAAGATATACAGGCAGCCAACAGACACGTGAAAAAGTGCTTAGCCTCACTCATCATCAGAGAAATGCAAATCAAAACCACATTGAGATACTACCTAACCCCAGTAAAAGTGGCCATCATTAATAAAATAAACAACAACAGATGCTGGCAAGGCTGTAGAGGAAAAGGAACGCTTCTACACTGCTGTGGGAATGCAAACTAGGGCAATCTCTTTGGAAGACAGGCAATTTCTGAAAGAACTAGAAATTGACCTTCCATATGACCCAGCAATTCCCCTATTGGAAATATACTCAGAGGAATGCAAATCATTCTACAGAAAAGATACCTGCATACGTATGTTTGTTGCAACTCTATTCACAATAGCAAAAACATGGAACCAATTATGTTGCCCATTAAAGCTGGACTGGATAAAGAAAATGTGGTACATATACACAATGGAATATTATGCAACCATAAAGAAGGACAAACATATGGACTTTGCAGCAACATGGATGAATTTGGAGTCGATCATACTCAATGACCTATCACAGAAACAAAGAACAGGGTACCATATGCTCTCACTCATAAGCCGACCTTGAACAATTATAATACTATAAGAAAGTGTTTGGCAGTGATGGGAAACTGTCAGGAGAGCGGGGTGGGATTGGCAGTTGAGGGAAACTGCTAGGAGAGAGAGGGGCATACTTCATCAACAAGGGTACCTGCATAATCAATGTTTGTATACCTAATCCTGAATTGTACCCCACATCTTTATTTAAAAAAAAAGAGAGAGAATCTAGTTGGATAAAAATAATAGATTGGAAAATTGTTCAAATAGAAAATGTTACTAGGACATGAAAAAAACTGTCATTTTTTGATGAAGTTTTACTTTGTTTATAAACTTAATTAATCTCTAAGTTTGATTATCCTTCAGGATTAGTATTCTTGCCTGATTTGTGGAAAGAAAGTATTTAGATGTGCTTCATAATTTTTGATTTGGAGAATTTCAAGCAGAGGTTGAGGATTGTCCCTTATCAGAAATGCTTGGGACCAGAAGTGTTTTGGGTTTTCAATTTTTTCAGATTTTAGAATATTTGCATATACATAATGAGGTATTTTGGAGATGAGAACCATATGAAATTCATTTATGTTTTATATACAACTTATATGCATAGCCTGAAGGTAATTTTGTACAATATTTTAAAATAATTTTGTGCATGGAACACATTTTTGACCATGCTTTGACTACAACATGAAGCCAGGTGTGGAATTTTCCACTTGTGGTATTATGTTGTTGTTCTAAAAGTTTCAGATTTTGGAGCATTTCAGATTTTTGACTTTTTATTAGGTATGCCCAACCTGTATTTGTAAATAAATGCTCAGAGAAATAAAATGGAGAAGTGCCCAGAGAAATGAAACAGTTATAATGTATGTGTGTGTGGTTATATATGTGTGGGTCTGTGTATGTATGTTTGTGTGTATATACATTATATATGTTTTTTAATGTCACATAACTGATCTCTTATAAAAATGCTAAAGATTAAAAACTTGGGTTCTTGTACCTAAATAAATGTTGATCCAAACACATTCCAATACACTTGCATTAACACACATCAGTTTTTACAATAAATATTTATTTTGTATTCTGTAGATTTCTGTGGTGCTTCATGGGATAGCTAATAATGTTAGCCAATGCTTTTCGTTACATATGTACATTGATCCTAATGCATATATAAGAACTATAGTTATGTTAGGGAGATAGGGAAGCAAGAAGTGTGATTAGTATAAAAATGTGTGATTGAGAAACCTCTGGATAGTGATCTCCTCTTTCGACACACTTATAATTTGACCAAAGATGCAAGTAGCTCCTAGCTGTAGTGATATGGCCAGCATATAATTTTCCAAGGAAAGCTGTTCTATTTATCACCTCCCCCTCCTGATCTTCATAAAAAAAAAGAAAAAAAAGTGTGGTTCAGATTCTCAGCACAGAATGAACAAAACAAATTAATTAAACCCGGGTTCAAATCCTAAAGCTACCCTGTATGTATAATATCCTTGGGCAATTGATTTAATTTCTGGGTACCTTACTTTCTAATCCATAAGATGGGTTTTAATACCTATTAATCACGTAGGGTGCCTGAGCCCGCGGGTTCGAGACCCGCCTGGGCAGCGAGACCTCATCTCTACAATAAATTAAAAAATCAGCCGGGCGTGGTAGCGCATGCCTGTAATTCCGGCCACTTGGAAGGCTGAGGCGGAAGGATCTCCGGAGCCCAGCAGGTTGAGGCTGCGGTGGCCGGGAGCGGCCACTGCACTCCAGTCTGGGTGACAGAGTGAGACTCCAACTCAAAAAAAAAAAAAAAAAAAATCACGTAGGGTTACTATTAGGATCAAGTAAGATATGGATATATGAAAGTGCTTTGAAAAATGCAAAAGACTTGCATGTACAGTATTACTAGCTGAATGTGACGATTCTTGCTTTGATTTTAAAAGTATTTGTGATGTTTGGATTTCAGTTAGAAGACACTCAAGAATTCTACTGCTGTAATTAGAAAGTTGAATAAATATTAAGACATGAGATTTTCACAAAGTTAAAAATAATTAATGACAATTTTTTATCCTGAATATCAAACTGGCTTGCTAAAACTTATGTTGTACATCAGGATCCATGTATTTATATCCATGTGCTTATGATTACTGTGATTATAGGTAATTAATATGATCAAATCTTTCTTTCTAGTTATATAAAATATATTTTTCTCTGCGCTCCTCTGAACAGAAGAACATCCCTAAAATGAAAAAACCTACTTTTATTCTGATTCTAGCTTTGTGACACATTTAGCTATTTTAAATTTGAAATACAATCAAATTTAAATGTGGAACATTTTTTTATCAAAAATAATTTTTTGTTTTATATCAAAGATACTCTTTAAAATTTTTTTTTCTCAAACTACAAAAGCAATGAATTTTTGGTACAATAAACCCAATCATCCAGATATGCTAATTACTACTTATTATTTTTTAAATGGGAAGTTTGTGGTGTCTCTGTGTGTGGGGGAGGGTATGTATGTGCACCAATGTATGTGCAACACAGAAAAGCTTATTCAGATGTTTACTTTTGTTTTAGTAACTAATATTTGATTTACCATTGTGATAAATCCACAAACAGTGGTTTCTCAGGCAAAATTCAGCTTATATGTGTTTCATTCTACAGTCTAACAAATTTTAACAAACACATTAAGAGGCCTTTGACTAATGTTCTATAAACTTTATAAACTCCTTCAAGTTTTTAAAATGGAATTTGTACATTTAATAAATTTGATTTCTACTTTAAGTAATTCAGCTTCCAGACTGACAAACCTTCCTATGTTGCAAATCTAAGCCCAACTTGCAAATAAAATGAAATCTTATGTTCTCTTAAATGTTAAAATATCAAATTTGTAAGATTCAACTTTAACAACATATTTCATAAATTATTTCACTACATATTTAAAACATGAAATTAGAAGACTGACATCTTAAATATTATAAATCTCTTTTTAAAATGAAGAATAGGAACACTATAGATTTTGATTCTCTTACACATTTTTCAATTTTTTTTTTTAATTTTAAAGATGTGGGGCAACATTCAGGATTAGGTATACAAGTGATTATCATGCAGGTAAAGTTTGGGCATCCCTTTGGTCCCAACTTTGCCTGGTTAGATATCAGGTACAATTGATGTTGTCAGGCAACCCACCCCCACCCTGGTAGTATCTCACTACTGCCAATCCCTCTCTTATAGCATTATGGTAATTGTTCAGGGTTCACTTATTGAGTGAGAGCATGTGGTACTCTGTTCTTTATTTCTGAGATAGATCACTGATTATGATAGACTCTAAACCCATCAAAGTTGCGGCGAAGTCTGTATGTTTGTCCTTTTTTATGGCTTTATTCCACTAAAAACCACATTTTAAAAATCCAGTCCAGTTTTGATGGGCAGCATGGTTGGTTCCATGTTTCTGCTATTGTGAACAGTGCTGTGATAAACATATGTGTGCAGGTATCTTTTTTGTAGAATTATTTGAGTTCCTTTAGGTATCTTCCCAGTAGGGGGATTGCTGGGTCATATGGAAGAACAATTTCTAGTTCTTTCAGAAATCACCACACTGTTTTCCAAAGTATGTACTAGTTTGCATTCCCACCAGCAGTGTAGAAGTTATCCTGCATCCTTGCCTTACTCTGGATCCTTGCCAGCATCTGTTATTGTTTGTTTTATTAATGATGGCCGTTCTTACTGGGGTTAAGTGGTAGCTCAATGTGGTTTTGATTTGCATTTCTCTGATGATGAGTGAGGCTGAGCACTTTTTCATGTGTTTGTTGGCTGCCCGTCTATCTTCTCTTGAGAAGTGTCTATTTGTGTATTTTGCCTACTTTTTAATGGGGCTGTTGTTTTTTTTTCCTTTCAGCGTGTTTGAGTTCCTTGTGGATCCTGGATGTTAGGGCTTTGTCAGATATACAGTTGGCAAATATTTTTTCCCATTCTGTGGGCTGTCTCCCCACTCTTTTGATGGTTTCCTTTGCTTTGCAGAAGCTTGTCAGTTTGATGAGGTCCCACTTGTTTATTTTATCTCTTATGGCATAGGCACTTGGGGTTTTGATCAGGAATTGGTTGCCAGTTCCAATTTCTATAAGAGTGTCTCCTGCATATTCTAAGGTTCTTATAGTTTGAGGTTTTACGTTTAGTTCTTTGATCCATTTAGAGTTAATTTTTATGTATGATGATTGCTAGGGGTCTTGTTTCAATCTTCTGCATGTGGTCAGCCAGTTTTACCAGCACTATTTACTGAATAGGTTCTCCTCTCCCCAGTGGTGGTTGTTGGAGCCTTTATCAAAGATGAATGGGTTGAGAAATCAAAGTTTTGCTTCCGGAATCTCTATCCTATCCCATTGTCCTGAATGTCTGTTCTTTTACCAATACCAGGCTGTTTTGATTATTGTAGCCTAACGGTAAAGTTTGTGGTCTGAAAGTGTGATACCTCCTGCTTTGTTTCTTTTGCTAAGGGTTGTTTTGGCTATTAGTGGCCATTTATGTTTCCATATAAATTTCTGTATTGTCATTTCCAGGTCTGAGAAGAATGATGTTGGTAACTTAATGGGTATTACGTTGAATCTTTTTTTTTTTTTTTTTGAGTTGGAGTCTCACTCTGTCACCCAGACTGGAGTGCAGTGACCATCCCAGCACTGCAGCCTTGACCTGCTGGGCTCCAGCGATCCTTCCGCCTCAGCCTTCCAAGTAGCTGGAACTACAGGTGCACGCTACCACACTTGGCTAATTTTTGATTTATTGTAGAGATGAAGTCTCGCCAAGTTGCCCAGGTGGGTCTCGAACCCACGAGCTCAGGCAATCCACTCATCTCGGCTTCCCAAAGTGCTGGGATTACAGGCTGAGCCACTGAGCCCGGCCATATTGAATCTTTAGATTGCCTTTGATAGAGTGGACATCTTAACAATGTTGAGAGCTGTCCAAGATGACTGACTTTGAGTGTAATATGAGGAGAAGGTACTTACCGCTGCTAAATTCATCACTCATGCACCTCCAGGGGAATTTAATGAAGTATTCGATGATGTTCAGCTACTGTTTAGTAATGACAATCTCCTCAGGGAAGGGGCAGCACATGCATTTGTCCAGTATAAAATGGATCAGTTCATGCCCGTGAAGCTAGAAGGAAATAAAGATCAGGTCCTAATTACAGAGCACAGTGACTTGGGTAGTAGCAGATTTTTAGATCCAAGAAACAAAATTTTCTTTAAATTTGATCACTTATGGAAAGAAGCAGGTGATCCCCTAGTCAGAGGACATAGTAGGAGGCCTGAGATCTTGGCAAGAATCCTTTGACAGTACTTTAAGGGCCTACATGAAAGATCATTATTCCAATGGCTTCAGTAATGTTTATGCTAAAACTATAGATGGACAGCAGACTATTATTGCATGTATTGAAAGTCACCAATTTCAGCCTAAAAACTTCTGGAATGGTTGTTGGAGATCAGAGTGGAAGTTCACCATCACACCACATACAGCCCAGGTGGCTGGAGTGCTTAAGATTCAGGTTCACTATTATGAAGTTGGCAGTGTTCAGTTGGCCAGTTATAAGGATGTACAGGATTCAATTACTGTATCCAATGAAGTCCAAACTGCCAAGGAGTTTATTAAAATCACAGAGAATGCAGAAAATGAGTGTCAGACAGCAATTTGTGAAAACTATCAAACGATGTCAGATACCACATTCAAGGCCTTGTGCCGGCAGCTTCCAGTTACCCGCATGAAAATCGGATGGACCAAGATCCTCAGCTACAAGACTGACAAAGGATGCTTAAAGGTTGAATGTAAGATTCTTCAGTATGTAGACAGAAAAGGATTCAATGTGTGATCATATGATAAATATGTGATTTATAAGTGAGAGCAACATTTTGCTAGGACTTTCAATGTTAACAGGTTTTCTAGCCTCATGGAATACTGTTGAACTAGAAAAAAAAAAAAAGTTGATTCTTCCTATCCATGAGCATGGAATATTTTTCCATTTGTTTGTGTCTTCTTGGATTTCTTTGAGCAGTGTTTTGTGGTTTTCATTGTACAGGTCTTTCACTTCTCTGATTAGGAAGATGCTGAGGTATTTCATTTTTTTGGTAGCTATTGTGAATGGGATTGTGCTTTTTATTTGGTTCTCTGCTTGCTTGTTGTTGGTATGTAAGAATGGGACTGTCTTTTGCACATTTATTTTGTATCCTGAGACTTTGCCAAAGCTTTTTATCTGTCTCTTACACATTTCTGTACTTAATTCAAAGTCTTCACCAAGTTGAAAGAAAGTTATTCTCTAGGCAAATAATTATGTCATCTCATATATTTTGGTTTACTTTTTAATATAATTTTGGTGGTCTTTTTTTTGACTTTTTTGATACTTATTTTTATTGTGATAAAAAACACACAACATTAAATTTACTATCTTAGCCATTTCTAAGTATACAGTTCAGTGGTGTTAAGTATAGTCACATTGCTGTGCAACATCTTTAGAACCTTTTCATCTTGCAAAACTGAAACATACTCAATTAACATGAACTGCCCCTCTCGACCAGTCTTTGACAATTGCTTTTCTACTTTTTGTTTCTATGATTTTGACTAATTTAAACACTTTATATGATTGGAATCTTATAGTATGTGTCCTTTTGTATTGGCTTATTTCACTTAGCATAATGCCCTTGAGATTCATCCATAGTGTAGCACGTGACAAAATTTCCTTATTTTTTTTTAATGCTGCATAACATATTTTCTGAAGCTTTTAAATACCTTAGAAAATATGGTCCTTGATTACTACCTTGATAGAGCATACTAAGCCCATCCTCTGTCCTAGATTGTGTGTGCTGAATTCCATAGAGCATATTATTTCATAGTACTAGTTTCAAGTTAGATTAGAACTCTCAATCCAGTTGGCTACCACAGTTGGGTTTTTTTTTTTTGAGTTGGAGTCTTACTCTGTCTCCCAGGTTGGAGTGCAATGGCATGCTCATGGCCATGCAGCCTCAACCTGCTGGGCTCAGGCGGTCCTTCCACCTCAGCCTTTCTAGTAGCTGGAACCACAGGTGCACACCATGCCTGGCTAATTTTTAATTTATTGTAGAGATGAGGTTTCACCAAGTTGCCCAGACTGGTCTTGAACCCCTGGGCTCAGGCAATCCTCTCGTCTCACCCCAGACTTAGTTGATTAAATTGTGCAAATCTTGGTCATTGAGGTGAATAATTTTTTTTGCCTATTTACTGTAATAATTGACAAAATTATGTATTCTTTTCATATAATTCTTATCTTTTATGACCACAAATCTCTTGTAAATGTCAAAATGACATCCTATTGTGTTTTGCAAATCTCATGGCTATGGTTGGAGGTGAAATCACTACCTCTATGGTCATCTTGTTCACCCCCTTCTACCTTGCCTTGCCTTTGGGCTCATCCTGCATATTGTCTGAAGTTACAAAGGAGTGTTAATTTCCACTGCAGTATCAACAATCTCCAGACACTTCCCATCTTCTTATTGTCCCTACTCCCAAACCTGCCCAAGATTCCAGATAGTTCCCTAATTTATAATTTTGATCTTATTCCTAAGAGGTTCCGAAGATGAAAATAGGCACAAGGCAAACTGGTCTAGATGTAGTGTGTCCAAGCACATCTGTTGGTGTCTCTTCCCTCCTGACTGCTTTGCCTGCCTTACTTCTCTTTCTTCCCTCCCTCTTCTTTTCCTTCCCCCCTCCTCCCTCTTTCTTTCTCCCTCTTCGTCTTCTCTACTTCTTTCTTTTCCTTCTCTCTTTTTCTAAGCACCAGGCACATCAGAGGCTGAAGAATGAGTAAACCACTGTTGATACTTTTCAGGACTCAGGCTATGTGCTAAAGGGTAGGAGTGAAATATACACTATGGAAGGAAGGGAAAGACCTTTAGACCGCTTCCTTCTCAAATGTGCTACTTTGTCTATTAGAGGTAAAACAGCTAGGCCACTTTAAAAAAGATGTAAATTTGTTGTATCTTTTAAAAAAATTACTTGAAATTAATTTTCACAGAAGGCAATTTTTTTTGTCTGTGTAAAAAATTGGAAAATAGATGAGCAAAAAGTAGAGGAAAAAAAAACCACTCGTAGTTCTGCCATTTTAGTATGTATCTTTCAAGATATATTTCCATTTCTTTAAATCCAGTATGAATTTATAGGCTATACTATGCATACTTTTTGTGTAAATTCCTCTGTTCATTTGTATTATATTTTGGACATATGTTCTTATAAGTTACATCTAAATAATCATTTTGTTTATGGTTGAATTTTATTGTATTGTATTTTTGTGACAGGCACTTAAATAGTTTAGTAGCTACAGTGAGCATCATTTTACATATCTCTGCACGTGTGAGTGATTCATATGATAAATTATTTTAAGTGGAATTTCTAGGTCAAACGATATACATGTTGTATATCATGTATTTAGGGTTAAATTTGGCCATGAGGTGTCTAGAGATGGGCAAGTCAGTAGGGAACTCAAGCAACTTCTACCTTTCTGCTCCACCATCTCTAAGACGATATGGTCTTCATTTTCATATACTATTATTAACCTCTACACAATAGTCAGCAGGTGGAATCGATAGGAGAAAGAGACAAATTACAATGCCAACTGTTTCCTAAAGAAGGTTCCTAGAAGTGATCACTTTTCATTTTCTTTTATATCTCATTGGTTAAAACTTAGTCACATGGTCTCACCACGCTGCAAGGGCATCTTTATTCTGTATGAACAGACCTTAATAAAAATATATGTCTATATATATTTATGTGGGAAGGGGATAATGGATATTGGAAGACAGGAATAATCCTAGCCACGATTTAATGCTTTTTATTTTATTTTTTTGAGTTGGACTCTCACTCTGTCACCCAGACTGGAATGCAGTGGCTGCTCCCGGCCACCGCAGCCTCGACCTGCTGGGCTCCGGCGATCCTTCCGCCTCAGCCTTCCAAGTAGCTGGAACTACAGACAAGCGCTACCACACCCGGCTGATTTTTTGATTTATTGTAGAGATGAGGTCTCGCTGCCCAGGCGGGTCTCGAACCCACGGGCTCAGGCAATCCACTCACCTCAGCCTCCCAAAGCCACGGGATTACAGGCTGAGCCACCGAGCCCGGCCGCCTCAGCCTTTCAAGTAGCTGGAACTACAGGCACGCGCTACCATGCCCGGCTAATTTTTTGATTTATTGTAGAGATGAGGTCTCACCAAGTTGCCCAGGCGGGTCTTGAACCCGCGGGCTCAGGCAATCCAATTTAATGCATTTTGATATGAATTGCCAAATTGCTGTCCAGACAGGTTGTAACAACCTCTATGCCCACCAGTCACGTATGAAGGTGCCCATTTCCTCATGTTCTTACCAACTCTGTGTATCACTATTCCTTTTCATCTGTTGGGTGATAAGTGGTACTGGCTTTATTTTGCATTTCCTTAATTACTAGTGATGCTGTTGTCTTTAAAAATTTATGTTTATTAGTCATTTGTATTTTGGCTTTTAGGCCAGGAGCAGAGTGGGAGATAAAGTAAGACTGCTTTGTTCTCCAGAAAGTCACAGAAACACTGATTAGAAACAACAGGTGTCAGTGGAAAAGGCTGATTTGTCAGAAAAACAGGCTGATTTGGAGGCTAATAAAGAAGACAGTTTGAGAGGGATACTGATCAACTAATGCCCCAGGGATCAGCCCACACCTTTCTAAGCCCTTTTCCTTATCAACATTATGGGCACCCATTTTCCTCTCATCCCAAAAGTCCACAGGACCTCCTTTCCCAAGACCTCAACAGTTTGCAGCTCCTGGGATGATTTGGAGCCAATCTCTCCTCTTTTCTCACATGAGCACTGTGGAGAGAGCAATAATCTCTGATCTCATGGCAGCGAGGGGAGCTCTTGGCAGCCCAAACTGAAATGAGAACGCATTGACCCATGGAAAGGAGGTGAGACTCATGATCCTCATGGTACTGTAATTTATTCAGGAATTTTTTGGAGCAAATGAACTACGGAGGCTACCCTAGGGATCTAAGCATTATTCACAACATTATAACTTCAGGAAAATACAACAATTTCCAAACACATCTTTGAAACCCAACCCCTTAGCACATTGGGGACCGCCTATAGATTTGGTGACATGGGACTTGGAAAAGCTCACAGGAAAGCAACAGAAGAAAGCAGCAGAGTGGGAAGTTGGCAACTACCCCTCCGTGGGAAGGATTGCTTAATCCAGAGACAAGGCTGGCCATACATTCTCGCTCCGATGTTCTTGGCTTCTCCTCTGCTGACAGCAGAGAAAGAGGATCATTGTAAGCAGAGCCACTGCAGCAGAATCATGAATGGATAAAGGGGATGGCCTGAGTCCTTTCTCCAGTCTAGCTTCCATTCTCTTTGCCCAAGAGGCCTTGTCTTCTCCTGCTGGATGCTGCTGTAAGGGAAGAGACTGTTTTAATGATTGTTTCCTTTGAGATAGATTTAAGTCTGTTGCCCTATCTTTGTTAGATGAAGGAGATCGAATGCTAACTTCAAGTTTAAGCTCTATTGAAGGTTTGCAGATGCTGTGGCTTGCCATGAAAACCAAGGGAAGAGCTTTGGGGATTGGGGACCCACTCTACTGCCTGGCAGGCCCGCTCTGATGGTGAGAGATCAGTTCCCATGGATGTGCCCTGCCTGTCTTTGGCACTCGTTAAGAGAACTTTGGAACCGTAAATAAGAGGCCTTAACTCCCACACACTGAACTGTATATGATTTCCTGTTCTTAACAGAGAGGAGTGTGACAATTGATTACCAGAGCAGTGAATGAATATTCACAGCTGATTTTAACTTGGCCAACTTTATGTAAAACTTAACTGGCTGTAAGCAAACAAGAAACTGGAAATGCGGTTGGTTTTTATGTGAAAATAGTTCCGTAAATAAACTTTACTCTTGTTTGAATGTCATGCCTCAGA